GATTACGACACCATGTTCTGGTTTGGGACTGGGTGGTATCACAGTCTCAGTGCGGCCTGTAAGCGCATGTGTGCTCTTCCGAAATAGTGGTCTCCAAGCCCAGATCATCCTTCGTGCGTACGGCAACCCCGAGAATCAAGTAGCCCGAACAGCGATTACAACAAAGCGGTGGGACTACGATGAGCTTTGCTTGATGCCCGAACAAACTCGGGCTCATGGTCGACTCTTAGCCGCATCTTGAGACCGACCAATTTCCTGATTTCGTATTGGGGTTTTGGATGGAAACGGTCTCCCTGGCGCATTCTGCTGCGCAGTACCTTCAGCACCTTCTTGTTGGCGCTGTTGACGCTCAAGCTACAGTGATCTACAACGCAGAATGCCGACTGCATCAACTTGCTTCAGCTTGCTCGGCATGCTGTCATCGGCGATTGGACGGATCATTTCCGCTCAATATTGAATGTGTATAATGATCAAACTCATCCCCGTTAGTTATCAAGCTGCACAGACTGAACATGACAGGCTTGCTGCGGTAGTTAAATTTCTGGCGGAAGTAGTTGCGCCATCCGCAATTTTGCATGCGGCCGAGAAATCTTCCTCGGTGATTATATTATACTGTGAACGTACCAGATTAGCTGTCGACGGGTCGTCGCACGCGGAGGCGCTACCGGAACTATCTTTAATTGTTCCGCCAAAGCCTCCGCGGCAATGTCGATGTTCATGAAAGGTGTAGCTGAAGTGGTTTCATCATGACATGTTGTAGTACTTTTCTCCTGCAGAGTACTTTGCGTGGACGGCTATCCATCCACTCAAAGACGTCACAGTCACCGAGAAATTTACCGGACAGCCCGGTGTCTTCTTTCACCTTTCTGAGCCCCGCGGAATGAGTGGAGGATTGTTGATCTAGTCCCTCTCCCTGATTCTGTCTTGGTAGACCTCCAGCGCTAAACAATCCATACTTGATCCAGACGTCTCGATCAAGTTCATGGCTTGCATTGCTGATCGCGGCAAAGTAAGCAACATCCCAGACGCCATATTCCCATATCAGTCACCGACACATTGATGATAGCAAAGAAACAGACAAGGAAAGCACACGCTATCTTCCGCAGCCGCGGGGCCTTCGGGCGCCGCCGGCCGCCGATGCTCCCTTTCATCCAGTCAGAATGAGCAGTCTGGCCCGCGAGGATTGGTTGGTCATAGAAACCTTGATTGGCCCTGCTCAGCAATCCTTCCGTTTTGGGCCGTCTGGGCGGCTGTATCTCGCCTTAAGTAGCTACAGATTTGTCATCGACGGCCATGGGATCTGGATGACAAGGCCTACAGTGAAAATGACACAGTGGAAGTTCCTGGAAAGATCTATTACACAAAAGAAGAGTGGGAAGTTTTGTGTATAGGTATGCATCAGTAAAACCAACGGTTGACTTGGAATGAGGTTGTGACTGTCATGTCAGGAAAGCCGTACCTTAGGCATGTGATTAGTGAAGCTCGGAATGCCAGAACTAAAAAGTTGAATCATGTGTTCTTGATATTTGGCGAAATTCCGTCTGTCGACAATATCCAGGTGACTTCCACACAAGTTCAGGGAATTGCCTTCTGCTCAGTTCGAAGACGTATAATTACGCATGTGATATTTTAATTCCCTCTACGTTCTGATCAGTACTGATTGCATCAGTATCCGCTTTAATTATGACTGTTTAGCTTTGCTGGTCATTTAGAATTCTAGACCTGAGGTCAGAACCCATACTGCTCCGCATGTAGACAGATTCCTTGCGCCCCCGTACCTTTGTGTACGGCTCTCTCGTCTGAGAGTCGGGCGACACAATTTCTAACCGTAGCTACTAAAGACGAGCCACCACAAACAACAACCAAGGATTCCCCGCCGGCAGCTTCAATAGGTTCTCGCATAAAGCTGGAGATGTCCGGCCGTGAGGTCGAGAGATTGATCTTCGCTGAAGATCTGGCCCCGGTGTTATTGTACCCCTGACGGGCGCCATCAGCCTCAACGTCAATCATCGCTGAGAATTTCGTGGCCGCTTTTTCGGCCTCTATATCGTAATCGCCCGATGCAAAAGACGAAGGTCTGTCTTTGACCAACCGCGTCAAGTCTGACGAGGACGGAGATGTTACGCCGCCCGTTACCGCAATGTGGACGTTCAACTCCATACAGTTGCTTCCTCGTCCCACCATAGCTTTCAACTCTTGTAGACGCTCAACGTAAAATGCGATCTCGTCTGCTTCCTTAGCCATGATAAGAAAGTCAACCCGCGTTACGCAAGTTTTCCTGTCTGTTGTAATAACGCCCTCTAGCATGGAAAGAGTAAAGGAGGCGCCAGTAGAGGCCGCAATGAGGACTAAGGTCTCGTAATGGCTACTTGCAGGTGGATGTCCATAGGGACCCATCACGAAGGCCGTCAAATTCTTAGATTGGGTATCGTTCTGAGAGGCGAAGCGATGAAGTCTGCGCGAGAAGCCCCCGTGCTTGCGTACAACCAAATGCATACTATTGTTTCGCGTCTTTTTCTCCTTGTCTGTTGATTGATTTACACCAGCGATGGTGTATGGATGAGTCTGCGTCGGTCCAACCCCTGGTAGCCAGAGATAAATGTGCTGGCCTGGCTTCCAGCTAAAGTCGATGTTCTCAATGGTCAGGACCGTTGTCTGCAATCCTGAAATCTTGACGCGAGCGGGATGACCGAGCCGCCGTCCTGCGCTCATCTGGAAGTTGTTGCGAACGAGCAGTACTGTTCTCCCAAGTCGATCGGAGGCAAGAGCTGCTACCGAGACCCAGATAGCTGCCTGCGCGTAGCTGGGAACATGGACGTAAAGAAGCCACAGGAAAACTACCGCGCTTATGGCGTGTTGCGCTACAAAGAGCTCGTAGCAGAGAGACCGGAGTGGGCCAAGAGAAGTGATAAACTGCAAGGCCAAGACTGCCCAAGCCGCAAAGCCATACCGGATCATGGGGCCCATCATCGATATCTGCAACTCAACCATGTCGGCGAGAACCCATTCGGTGTAGAAGTAGAACCCGTGAACCGTTGCCGAGAGTAGTAGAGTGCGAGCCACCCACCGATGAAGCCAGTTCAGGCGCTCATGGCCGGAGCCAACGACGAGGCCAAAGATGCTGTACTTAGACGCCAAGAGGTAGACTAGCGGCACTTGCATGGTGGCAATCCAGGCGTTGCGAAAGCCAATACGCTCCCAGAAGTATCCGTCCGAGATGGCTGTCCCAGCCGCCATCATGTATGCGATTATGATCCAGTAAACCAGCAATACCAGAGAACGACCTAACGGCGGTGGGCTCATCCAGGAAAGCCATGCTTTGCTGATGAAAAGCTGTGGATAGCTCATCTCTCTGGAGAGGGCTGTCATCGTTGCAAAGACCTTCTGGAAGCCATTGGTTGGTCGAGTAGGATGTCGGATGGAACTTGAAGCAAGGCGGCGAAGTCTGGAAAATGTCTGAATCAGCCATCAAGTAACAAGATGACGGTAAAGACTACAAGTGAATGGTGTTCCCACCGTATCATACACAAAAACAGAAGATAAAGGCGTACCTACCTGGTACGTGACTGGTACAGACTCAACAGCCGCAAGACGGCGATACTGCCGAGGACGCTTCCAATGATGATCCAAAAATCACGAGCCAGCTCGATGTTTGTCGTCTGGAACATGTTCATGCCCATGTCCATGGACATGCCGCCCATGTTACTCATATCCATTGCGGCGAATTTGATGGGAGACGCCACTAAAATGGACGATGTCGTGCGATGTAACGGTTGAGAAGGCCTGCTTCCAGCGCTGGAGTTTTTTGAAGACGATGAAAGAAAAAATCAAGTTAAATTAGAAGGAAATGTATATTTTTGGGTAAAACAGCATATCAACAGACGTCAAAATCAAACAAAACCGGCTGACGTCTTCAGGCACACGCGGCGGAGGGGAAAGATCGTAGTGACATGTCCCAACTGCAACCAGTGACGGTGAACTACTTACAAATTCGGATCTTCTTGGGAAATCATCCTGCATCATCCGTTCTTCTCACATCCATGTATGCTGTACCATGTGAGTGGGCTTCTTCCCCCGCATGTACAAAGGAGCCATCCGTCCCCTTCGTGTGGACTGGGACTCGGTTTCGCCCAACCAAATAACACCATAGGAGATCAAACCATATTCTGACCAATCATATAATTGAAGATCTAATGAAGTTAAAGAAAGCCCGCAGTTACATGGGGCCTCCAGATATGCTTTGCTGCGCCCGCATGGATCTCCGTCCAGTCCGTGATCCCCTGGAAAAAAGGGCTAGGTGGTTGCATTTATTCAATTACCAGCTACTCTTATGCAATATAGAGACACGACTAGTTTTAAAACGCGAGAAGGGGTATGTCTTCGTCTCAACAGAGCTTAGAGCCTTCGTGCCAAAACAAGCTCAATTCTTCTCAATGCCGCGAACTAAGTTTCACCATTTCAGCCACCGGCACCCAGGAACCGTAGTATGCCGTTGTCACTGGATCGTGGAAAAAAATGCTTGTTTCTCGTACATCGGGTGTTTGTCGCAACTCTGGGAAAGGCGAAATCTGCCTCAATCCCCCTCAGAGTTCTGGTAGTGCTCCAAAGTGTGTGGCGTTGTGCCGCTAACACTGGTCATCTGCTCCCTGGGCAACGATGCTAAGGAGCCGTTTTACCGGCAACGGCAAGCTCCATTTTCTCTTCAAACAGCCGTCTTTCAGGGACTGGCCTCACATAGTGGGAAAGCATGATACTATTTCCCAAATTTGCTCAATGATGCTGTGCAGCCTTTACGACATCCTTGGCCGACTATTTATCACCAAGCAGCACCCTCCATCTTTGCATGACATCCGACAGTACAAATCTTTTGTTTCTTGATTCAAAGTTTCGTTTTAATCGCAGTATCGTTTTCACTGAGGCTGGTTCTCACTATCTTTACATAATACTCAGTCGCCTACACATCATTCTCCTTCCGGCGTACGTACGTCCGTTAATACAACATGGCATCAATTCGATCGATCGCTGCTACAGCTCTGCTGCTGGTGTCGGCGGCTCAAGCACACTTCAAGCTCAACTCTCCGCCCACAATTGGCTTCAGCGATGATAACGAGGGCTCCGCTCCTTGCGGAAGCTTCACTCCAGACTTCACCAAGGACAACGTGACAGATTTCCACGTCAGCGGCGAGGCCATCTCGTTATTGCTTGCGCACCCTCAGGCCAACTGGCTGTTCCGTGGTACACTGGACCAGACGGCTGCTTCGAACTGGAAGCAGCTGTTCCCTATCGTACAGCAGAAGGGACTGGGCGACTTTTGCGAACCTTCCGTAACTGCACCTGCAAGCTGGGTCGGCAAGAAGGGCGTCTTGAGTGTTGTCGCCGACGGACCAGACGGTTTGCTCTACCAAGTAAGTGACATCATCTCAGCACGATACCTTTGTTGTTTGCAGGTCAAGTTAGACATCTAAGTCTCCATGCTTCCCTGCTCATTTCCCCTACATCTTGTCTCTGGACAACTACTAATGCATATAATCTAGTGCTCCGCCGTAAACTTCGTCGAGGGTACAGGCACCCAACCCGCGAGCTGCAAGAACGCAACCTCCGTCTCCGCTTCCTTCGCAACGGACTCCAAGCTGACTGCGTTGGTGGCGAATGGGACCGGTAGCGCAACCCAGCCATCGACATCAAACAGCGCTAACAGCGGCGCTCCTGCCAAAGGTGCTGCTATATCTGTGGGTGGCCTCATGGTTCTGGCGGGCGCGGTCATCGTTGGGTCCGCGATGCAGTGATGGAAAGAGGCAAACACGACCAAGGTCAAAAACTGTTATCATGCACATTTGACTAGTTTTATTTTCGTTCTCCAAAATACAGTGCGTCTTGCACGTCGTTCCATGGTCGTCATTAGTAACCGAGGCATTAGCTATCTCGCTTGCTCCTCCGTAACACATGCGCCTTGGCTTATATTTACCTTGAGCCTTCGGTTATCACTACCCGGACTGAGGCCTGCTGTTTCTCTGACACATTCGTTCGACTTCGTGCAATCAGCAAAGAAGAGCCCAAGCCGTTCGAGGCCTGCTCAGACCAGCCAGCCCTGCAAGCCTAGACAGCCTAGCGATGGAGAAGACACATGACCTGCAAGAACGACAAGTAGCATTGGATAGCAGGGCCAGTCAGAAACAGGTGCTTGAACGGCACCGATAATCCTTCCCTATCGCCCTCGAGGTTTGCTTCTTAGCGTTCGGCCAGCTTACGTACAATCCGATAGCCGTCTCTCAAACGCGCAACGCTGTTGCTTTTGAGATATCGAACTCAATCACTATCATCGGATACTCGTTCCGGAGATTTGACCCACATCACCCCGGACATCCCCTTGTAATCGTCGATGTAACGTGCCCGAGATATGCAATGCAGATACGGCGTCATCTTTCTTGTCTCTGGAAATGGCATTCATATTCCCTTCAATCTGAGCCTTGGAAAGCTTCCATAAATGGTAGCCTTGTCTGGTCAGGTTTGACAGAACACCGATGTCCCAATATTCAGACCTTTGCAGCATTCCATCTCGAGCGCTCTCCAAGCTAGTCTGCATCGCCAAGAAAATCAAGCGATAGTGACAGTCATAGAAATCTTTATACCAGTCGATTTGGACAGCTGCGAGTTTTGCAAATACCCACCGACTTTTGCTCACAATGCAGACGTCTCAGATATCCGACATGCAGGCCTCCGAGAAATCAGACCAGGAGAAGCAGTTGTCTCCCGTGCGCACCGCTGAATCTGTTCATCAGGGTCAGATCACATCCGATGAACAGGGGCAAGGGGACTTACACCGAGATTTCAGTCCACGGCATATTCACGTACGTTCTATCGAACTGTATACACATCTCCTTCGCTGCTAGGTCTAACGCATGGCCATAGATAATATCCCTAGGCTCCAGCGTGGGCAGCGGGCTTTTCATCGCGACTGGCAAGGCGTTAGCAACCGGTGGCCCCGGCACTATGTTCCTGGCTTACTTGATTGTATGCACTGGAGTTTGGTCCAATCTCCAAAGCCTGGGTGAAATGACCATCGCTTTCCCTGTTTCTGGTAGCTTTGTCAACTATGCCGGTCGATGGGTTGATCCTGCTCTGGCCTTTGGTGCAGGTTTTGCCGAATGGCTCGGTAAGTCTAGGTCCCAATCTTCATATTCATTATCTCCTTCGTTGTATGTCCTTCCCACTAACTGCGAAACAGGTTGGATCGCGGTATTCGCAGCTGAGGCTGAATTCTTCGTCGTTTTAATTGAGTACTGGACGACTGCAGTACCACACGCAGCTTTGAGTTAGTCATTCTCTCTCTCATTGTATCTTAACCGATTTCAAACTAATCAACGCGTGAACAAACAGTCTCGATCTTTCTATGCATCTGTCTCGTCGTCTTCTTCCTCCCAAACAAGTTCTTCGCTTGGCTTCAATCCATTGGATCGCTTGTCAAGATCATTCTTTTCGTCTTCGTTATTTTCCTCTCTCTTGCCTTGATCGCTGGCGCCGGCCTCACCGGATCTGTCAAAGACGGAAGCTATTGGCGCGAAGGAAAGTCATTCCAGAACGGATTCATGGTAACCATTCGACATTCACGTTTAGCGGATCGTCTTGGCGACTAACATATGTGATCCTAGGGCTTTGCGAGTTGCGCACTTCTAGCTATCTGGGCAGTTGGGGACCAAGTCTTCATTGGCGTCATGGGAGGAGAGGCCAGCTCGCCAAGATACTCGATGGCCCACGCGTCGACTCTGGTTCCAATCCGTGTCAGCTTCATGTATCTGGTTTGCGTGATCTTTATCGGCATCATAGTCCCATCAGATGACCCCCTTCTCCTTGGCGGATCCGGCTCGGCAGCATCGCCTTTCGTTATCGCAACACGGAACTCGGGCCTGGCGGGAATTCCAGACTTCATCAACGTCTGCATGATCATTGGCATATTGGCCATTGCATTGGAGTCGATATACCTTCCCTCTCGCATCATCCGTACCATGGCTTTTCAAGGTCTGCTTCCAGAGGTTCTGGCGAAGTGCGATGACAAAGGCCGTCCTAGATGGGCTCTTTTCATCAGCGCAGTCGTGGGTGTTATCTTGAGCTATCTCAGCTTGAGCAGTAAGATCCCTCATTCGTTGATTCACCGGCGAGATAGACTAACGTTAGGTGAAGGTGGTGGAACTACGGCGTTGAATTGGTTCATTTCGATCACAAGCGCCTCATTTTTCAGCAACTGGGCTATCATTGCCTTCACGAACTTGAGGTTTCATGCTGCTTTGCGAGCACAGAATGACAAGATTTTCAGCCAAAACTTTGCTTGGAAGTCTATTGCCTGGCCGTTTGCACCCATCTGGGGTCTTATTATATCCTCAATGCTTATGGTCTGTCTGGTTTATGCGGCTGTTAACCCTTCGGTGAGTAATTCAGGTTGAAGTCACCAGGGCTCTCAAGCTCCGTACCCATTCGTATCTGATGTTTCTTTTGCAGAACGCTTTCTCGGCTGAGAACTTTTTCGAGTACATGATCGGCCTTCTGATGATTGTGGGTGCTACGATTGGCTACAAGCTCGTTAGGCGCTCGCGTTGGGTCGATCCAGCAGAAGCTGACTTGGTAACTGGAAGGCATATTCTGAGAGACGAAGAAATTCAATTTCTCAACGAATACTACAGTAGACCTTTGTGGAGGAGGGTGATGACTTACCTATCATTGGTTTGAGAGAAGAACATGTTGTTCAATATGTGGAAGGGCCGTTTATGACTCCAAAGTCTACCATTTCATTCTTCTGGCTTTGTTGCCAAGTTACCATTCAAATGTATAAGACGCATTATGACAGACGTACCCGTGATTCAGTCCATTCATTGTGCAAAATGAAGTATGCCGACACCGGTGTGATCGGCGACGTTGGCGCATAGACTCCTCGGACGCCGAGTCGCGCTACGGCATCTCCATCCGGGCGGCGCTGTCATCTGTTCGGCTGTGGGGGCCACGAACCCCAGGAGCCAAGCAACGTCCGCTTCCATATGAACTCATGCCTGGCTATCAACACCCGGCAATACATGCGGGGAAGGGAGAAGGATTTCGCAGGAAATTAGGTCTGATAAGACACCCTAGTGGTCGTCGCTGAAACCTGCTAGTTTTGAGAATACTTCTGTAGGTATGCACTACCGGCTGTAACCCCGCGGCATCGGATGCGTATCCCGATGTGAACGTTGATAACGTAGCTTGACTGCCCAGGACTGCCTCATATGGGCTACCATAGTGGCTAATCATAGTTCTTTGCATCTGGGCACCATGTCCGAGGATAAACAGACTGTCGTTATCGCCGGTGCCGGTGATCTCGCGCAGTATCTCGCCGAGGAGTTCAAAGTCGACAACACGCACGATGTGCTTCTCATATCCCGAAAGGAACGCGAATTCTTCACCAAATTAGGTGTCACTACTCATGAAATAAATGAGTACTCTGCCGACAGCGTCTTGGCTGTTCTTGAAAAAGTGAACGCCACCGTGCTCATTTCGACCCTGCACACCGACGATCCGGCGCTCTACACGTCATTGCACAAGGCACTGCTACTGGCCTGCAAGGCTTCCAAGACATGCAAGCGGTTTATACCCAGCGAGTTCTTAGGAAATTTGCGCAAGTTTGACAACATCCCACGCGGAATCGCTCGCGCGCGGAGAGCTTTCCGCTCGAAGTTACTGAACGAGTCTGAGATCAAGTGGACTCTTGTTAACCTTGGATGGCTAGCGGATTACTTTGTTCAGCAGCCTGATGGATCAAGAAGCTACATTAGCCCCTTCCCTCAAGGATGGCCGATCAACATGGAGGAAGGAACCGTTCGAGTGATCGGTACTGGGGATGAACCGGTGTGCTGGACAGCGGCACGAGATGTAGCGAAGGCAGTTGTGAAGCTCGTATCTCACGACGAGTGGCCTGATCATGTCTATGTATTCGGAGAGATCGGATCATGGAACCAAGCAATCGAGAAGGTCGAGCGCTACTATGGAGTTACATTAACTGTTGGTCGGTCCTGTTTCCCGTACGAATATAGATAGACTGACTTTGTGAACAGCGAACACACGTCACCCAAGACGACATATCCCGAGACTTGGCTAATGAGTCAGTGGTCGAAAAGTGGTACAGGGCTACCATTGACGAGTGGTCACTAGCTGGTGCAACTGCTGTGCCTCTGGAAGAAGCACTTCATCAGCGCGAGAGATACTTTGGGGAGGTCAAGTTCAGAGATATCAACGAACTATTACGTAGCTCGGAACGTATGCAGATCATTTGAGCAATAGTAATAACATGAGACAGTCTATGCCCTCACCTCCTCAAGCTGATCCAACTGAATGTTGCCTTGCTTCGAATCTACGCGAGCTTCCAAGGCATGCTGGCCCGGTTGGACTGTTCTTCCACCAGTCGAGTAAACTCCGCCCGTGACACCACCTTTCGTGAACAGGAGCGGGATATCTTCCAGCTCGAGTCCTTTGGTCTCTGGGTAGAAGAAGTAGACCATGGGTATGAACAGAATGTTTAGAACGGCGAAGATGATGAACGTTCTCCACTCAATGTTTGCTTGTAAATTCTCGTCAGTCCGCTTCAAATACTGGAGAATAGTCAAACCCACCGAAGGAAATAGGGGTAATCTTCACTACAGCAAATACGGCCATCCAGTTCCAGCCAGAAGCAATTGCCTGCATTTTGGAGCGTACCCGGGTGGTCGAAAGTTCAGACGGGTAAAACCACGGGACCTAAAATCGTTCAGTCTTTATGCATGCGCTTCCAACAGGTTTCCGTACTTACAGGAAGCCATCCAACGCCGTAGAAGAGCTGGAATAGGAAGATGAAGGCAACTGCTCCAGATGCTGCTCCACTGGAGCCCCTGGTCAACAGTATTGTAACCATGACAAAACCATGATTCGAGCAGAATATTGTTGACGGACCTGGCAGGTAGTAGTTGATCATGTTGGAGCCACTGAATTGTTGGCCAAGTTGCACGGAGATGGTAAGGATCAGCCGGCGAAGGTTTTGTTGAGAACCCCATGAGAAGAGCTCTCTGAAACGGAACGGACCGTCGCGTTTCTCCTCCTCAAGCCCGGACTGGATATCCAGCAAGACTCTTTCAACGGCTTCGTCATCCCGAGGTTTGTCTAAAATAGCAGCGATAACGTCTCTGCCTTCCTCATATCGGTCGCGTGCAACAAGCCATCGAGGTGTCTCAGGAAGTCCGACGATCTGGAGAACAATGAAGACGGCGAAGAACGCTTGGAAGGCTAGCGGGAATCGCCATTGGAAAGAAGATTCGTAGAAACTGGTACCATCTTGTGCATGAAGTCAGCATCTGATCCACGGTCAAGGCAGGGTCGCTCACAATCAGTCCAGTATGCAATGACAACCCCCAGGATTGTCACCGTCCCTTGAAGTGTCAGGAGAGCGCCACGAATGCTGGCTGGAGCGCACTCGCTAAGATATACGGGTGCTGTTGATGAGTTCATGCCGTTGCCAATACCGGTGATGATGCGACCAGCAAGTAGAGTGGCGAGGTTCTCCGACGCTCCCAAGAGAATCGAACCAATGATCATTATTGTGGCTCCGGACATGAGCATACTCCGCCGACCAAGTCTTTCGCCGATGAAGTAGGAGATAATTGAGCCTACGACACATCCAATGTTGTACAGAGAGGTGATATTGCCTTGCATATCAGGATCCGGATTGTTGAAGTCCCGGGCGAATCGATTTTCGGCACCGATGATACCAGACATGACACCTAGATGAGGGCGAGACTTAGCATCAATCTGGTGCGTTAGGAGGATCGCGCATGATGAACTAACCCTGGTCGTATCCCAGCAGCAGGAAGGCCTGGCAGGATGCCGCCGTGACTGCGAAGACAAGCTTCCTGCCTCGAAAATGATGTTTCCACGGCAAGCCCATAGCGAACAATAATGATGGTTATTATCAACAGTTATCTTCTGGTCAATAAAGCAAGATAATATTGGCCGAGCTTGACCATTGCGACATCAAACCGTTATCACAGAGACTGCCGTCGGCACTTATTAAAGAGCATGCTTCGCGCATAAATATACCGAAATTCCTATGCTTGTCAATCGAGCTGTCAAGAAGATCTACCCTTCCCCAGAAATCCGGGGCAAAGTTTCGGGCAGGGAAGGGGTAGTTGTCGCGTGGAGATGTACCGATCCGTCAACGTCATTGGTCTGTCACACCCTCCCCTCCTCACTACCGGCATGAGATCTCGAATGGAGTAGAATCCGTCGTCTTGGCTCCCAACCCACGAACATGGTTTTAATGATGATTTGATAATCTCAAGCAGCCAGATTGGTCATTAATACAACGCGTCTTCTAGGTGTTCCTCGGTGGCGGGTTGCTCGGTGCTCGGGACAATTGGAACCTTTTAGAGGTTCAAGTCTTGGCTTCTCCACGTGGTCGCCGGCTTCTTCTGAAACAACATCTAGTGTCAACCGTTCGAGCCGGTCAAGTCCCTCCTCCCTCTGGTGTAATGCCAAATTAACGATGTCCTTCAAGAGATTCGATGATGGCGTAGATTCCTATTCTTGCCAGCGGTCCTATGACGTGTAAACACGACGTGCCGGCATGGCTATTATTCACACTGCGCAGAAAGATGGTGACTCTCTCAACACAATTGGCCCTCACCGCCGGTCTCATGTTTCAACGCAGTTTTCAAAAACGAAGCATCGTTTGGTTAAACAGAAGCCCAGTCCAAGGTGTTGGACCCCTATGGTTGCAATTGGTGTGCGGGGTTGACGCGTCGGGAAGGGTTCGGCGGCCGCATCCGATTATCTTGCATGATATGTGTCTACCCCATCCAACCGTTCGTTCCACATTGCTATGACGGTAAAGATTACATTTGACTTCCTATCCTCAATTTACTAGGAGTAGATTGCACCACTTATTTAAAAGGCTTCGCATCTCGAACTTCACTAGTCTTAACATTACCAACATATTGTCAGGCGTTTTTGGTGCATGAGACTATTGAAATGGCTGCAACGACAAACATCGTGGTCCTCGGGTACGATTATTTCTTTATTCTCATCTCTCAAGATCAGAGGAGTTAACTTTGACAGCGCTGGAGTGTCAGGTCTCACAACCGCCCTGCTCTTGTCTAAGAATAAGGCCAACTCTGTCACGATCGTAGCGAAGCACATGCCAGGAGACTATGACATCGAGTATGCGTCACCTTGGGCGGGAGCAACCTTCCAACCGTAAGTAAAATCCACTCAACATTGGCGTGAAAAGAAATGACGAATGGTTTCAGTATGTCTGAAGAAGAAGACAGCAGATGGGAGCGCCGTACTTGGCCAGAGCTGTCACGTCTGGCATCTTCTGTCCCTGAAGCTGGTATTCATTTTCAAAGTAAGTCATTGTCTTTTATAACTCTAAGATACTTAGTACTGGGCTAGTCATTCCATTCATATCGTGATGCTCATGTCAACTAGGAACTCACATCTACCGCCGGAACAAAGACTTTGAAGGCGAAGATGTGCCGTTTGGGCCACTTTTCTCTCCAAACTCATGGCTTCGCAATCTGTTCTCGGACTACCGCGACCTAAAATACGAGGAACTTCCCAATGGAGTAGATTCTGGGTTTGAGTACACAGGTGTTTGCATTAACACATCTCTTTATCTGCCCTGGCTAGTTGGCCAATGCAGAGCTCAGAATGTAGTCCTCAAGCGTGGCGCAGTCTCTCATATTGACGACCTAAAGACGATGCACCACAGCGGAAAGCCTGCCGACGTCCTCGTCAATGCTTCCGGTCTTCAGGCTCGTGATTTAGGGGGCGTTATGGATAGATCACTTGTCCCAATCAGAGGCCAGACTGTCCTGGTGCAGAATGAAGCAGGACCTCTCTACAACATATCGGGAACGGATGACGGAGATGCCGAAATCTCGTATTTGATGATGCGCGCATCTGGAGGAGGTACTGTGTTGGGCGGCACTTACGACAAGGGAAACTGGAGCCCGGAGCCTGACACGAACATCGCCAAGCGGATCATCAAGCGTTGTGTGGCGTTGTCTCCTCAGCTTGCGAATGGAAAGGGGGTAGAAGGTGTCGAAATCATAAGACACGGAGTTGGATTGCGGCCCTGGAGAAAGGGCGGTGTCCGACTGGAGACGGATTTCAATTTGTCAACAAAGGAAACTCTAGTGGTCCACAACTATGGACATGCTGGCTGGGGATACCAAGGCTCTTATGGTTGCGCTGAGTACGTGGTTGAGCTTGTCGAAGGTTTCCAAAAGGATAGAAACGTCGTTGATAAGGCAAAACTTTGAAGGTTCTTGCATTTATTAAGCTCTGCAATAGTCGAGCGAAGCATCATACCTTAGGCCGGATATTTGAGACCGCCTAATTTTTTTGTGCTGTGTTGACTACTTTTCCTGTCGTTATTCTACTTTATCGTCGTACTTCAATCGTCGTCGTCGCTTCTATAGTTGTCATCGCTTCTGTTATCGCCGTCGTTTATACCGTCGTCGTCGTCCTCGCTAATACTATCGTCTCGGACAGGTGTGATTAAATACACAGGAAATATAGCCGCGCAGACACAGGCAAAATAGGCGGTCTCGGTTATTAGGCAGCATTATTCCACCTAAGGCGTGATCACGCGGAAAGACAAATGTTTAGAACGGCTCCACATACAATTGTATGAAGGGTTCCAGTTTGCACCATTCACAAGTAAGAACATAATGGTTTGGGTTGTATTTGGTGAAGTCAAGTCTACTCCGAATTTTGCAAGACGCCTCAAAGCCTTGGGAAGATAAAACTTCAATCTACGATTTCCCCTGCCCGCTTCTAACCCAATCGCTGACTCCCTTGGTTGCGCTCGCCTCTGGTAGAGACATCTAGAAGTTACAGCAATGAAACTTCCCATCCGACTGTGTGTGGCAGTCTTTGCTGAAGCATAGGCCCTTGCAGTTGGAGTACGTGTCAAAGCCTTGAGGCTGGCATGCCTTAGCAGCCTGGGGCGCGGCGCTGACGGCGGTTGCTGCAATGAGGCAGAAGATGACTTCGAAGAATCTCATGTTGGAGCTACACATGATGTTAGAGGATAGGACACTAACAGAAGCATCAGTTCCTGGAGATACTGACTTGGTGGTGCGTATGCGCGCGTAATGAGGTTTTCTTGATATTTGGCAAGAGCCGAAAGACTGATAGCTAGTTTGGAGGCTTTGGAGTTCCTGTAGTCGATGATCTGCATATAATTGGGGAGAGATATTCTGCCTATTTATATTTGGACTTCTTCCATATCAGCTGCAAACTTCGTGATATATAGTTTACCAAAGCGAGTCATTTCTCAAATTCTCCTATATCTGACAAGCTTTCTTACGTTCCATGGGTATAGGCTATTTTGAACCCGAAGCCATCGTGAAAGCTGAGTTCTAGCCCATGGTGTAGTTACAGGTGGGAGCCCAGCCAATAATTCAAACCTCCCGTCGGCTGTCATATACTTGACTTTGTGCTACGGCGGTGTGAAGAATGGGCCTCCCATGTATGATAAGTCGCCGCCGCTAAGTTATCCTGCGTCTTGCATGGCGGGGCCTCCGGGCGAGAAGCTTCCCTTTAGAAGTTAGGCGCCGGCTGGATAAAAGCGCGCCGAGCTGACAAGAACTGAGGTGTAGCCGGAGATAAAGACAAGCGTGTGTCTTCGGGTGTTATGAACTTTCAATCTCAGAATCGCCAAAGTTTCTGCATACAACTACCATTCAAGTACGCGTAATCAGACAACTTCTAGAACAGCAAAGAGTATTTCCTTCTAAAGTTTCCAGTTCTGTGACTAGTCATGAGTGCTTGGATGCCCATGGCCTTAAGGTTTGGGCAAGTAAGACGGCATGAGAACAATTTCCGAGGGAAACGTACGGAAGAGGATTACGAAATATCCGGTCCTTGCCAGTTCCGAGTCATTTCTCCTAGGGCGCAAGGGAATGCGACGAGCTCGCTAGGAGGCCGGCATGGCCGCGTAATTTATTTAAGCTCGGTCAGAAGTTCTCTCTGCCATCTGAATGCGGAGAACCCTTGAATCTCGAACGATTCCAGCAGACTGGTCAGAAAGCTTATTTTGACTTTCTACTCCTTTATCCAACCTCTAATAGACTATTTTTGAACCCGGTGGTGAATACATTCTACAATAAATTGTCACAACCAGATATTTACTCACGTATATATGTTGACAAGAACATGAAAGTCCCCGTGGGAACTGGTGGTGATGATTTACCGTGTGTACAGCTACGCCCGTAGGCTGTATCTCCCAACAGTCTATCAAATCTGCCGTGCATTCTCGGGCTACTCCATCTATTAGCGTGCTTCGGCTCTCATCCGCCGTAGTTCGAAGCTTATTTGATCGAGCTACTGTCCGGTCCGAGCAGGTCGTGATGGCCGGCATGGGTGTCACGGTGTCCCCAGCGCATCGAGCTAATGGAACCGCTACCCTACCACACTCTTCAACCTGGGTGACCATGAAATCTTGTCTGCAGAGACCCAGATTCAGTCTGAGGGGGTGGCTTAGATCTGAAGGGGCGAATGCATTGCCAACTTCGTCTCGAATTGAGCCCTCTCCTAGAACACCCGGTAGATGACGAGGACACAATACTTCGCGTTTCACCGTCCACAATCTGCTTGCTGCTCTGCTCTTTGTTCTACACAGCCATTACACAGCCCGGAATGCCAAACGTAAGACGGATCAACTTTCGTGCTTGTCTCCATTGTTGCCCATTCCTTCGTCGCGAACGGTCAAATGGGAATCGCAGTTAAGAGCCAGCGGTGGAACAGCCAGTTGTAGATTTCATGCGACATGCGAGGTAACCATCCTCCTTGATAACCGGCTGTGATACTTGGGTTGCAATCGTTTGCCAGTGCTTCATGGAACCTAAACGATTGACCGAACGCCTGCAGACTGCGTCTTGGCCTCGGTTCCTAGATTAGACTGTCACTCAACTATCCGACACCAACCTGGCGCAGACTCCCGAAGTGACAACTCGTCTATCAGATCAACGAGACTAAGTGTGACAACTCATGCAAGCAAGCGGCATGTTTGAACTGTTGGAGGATTTGGCCGACATACGGCCTGGTCAATCATACCGTCACGTCTTGTATTGACGACGGCATTGGAGTATCCGTATGTCAACCGTTTTTTTCAGATCGATAGACGCATTCCGAGGAGTTATTTCTCTGAAAAGGACTGCCGTTCCCGCTTGTACAAATACTTAAGACTGTCTTCCCATCTTTGTTTTTGTTTTGGTGGGTCTGTGAATGCAATGGCCGAAGATAAATCTGAAGAGCCTCCAATACATCAGCCTTCTTCTCCGTTCTGCTACACCTCTCTCTAGGACAGATGTTTGGTGCGGGAAGATGGACGGAGTGTTTATTGAACCGAATCTGACAACTACACATGGCACCCGTTAGTAGGGTGTGAGCACTACATCAAAGGCATCACCTTCCAGCTCTTGGCTGTTTTACTCAAAGGCTATGCCTCACTGGATTCTAATTCAGGTACGACGTGCGTGACAATAAGACGAAAGTCGCTTGCTTTATTCGCATGTATGAAGGCAAATACATCATACTGGGTCCATTGGTTACGTATGTTGCGATCTTCTTACTGGACGAAGCACCGACCGAAGTGCTCTTACTGGATTTACCTACTGTGTACACTCTTCAGGGTGGGCTATGAAACTTCCTCGACATGAAGGAAAATATGTGAGACAGGCTCCATGTTTGAAGATTGTATTTAGCAGTAGAAGTATTACAGATCTAAACAGCCTAGGTAAACACACGTATATAAAGAATCGCTATGTTCTTCGTAATTTAGCTCGAATCTGAGTCAACAGACAGGCAACATCTGAACATCACCGCAACTATAAAGAATAAGGCAAGCTACGATATTTACTAATTTTGAAACCCTGTTATTCTCCTATATACCTTGTCTGACTTATTTAGGGACCAGACCCAAGCAGCAGTACCCATCTACCAACCATGCGTTTCGCCACCTCCCTCATCATCTCCGTCCTCGCCATCACCGCACAAGGGGCCGTTTCAAATGACGATTCCATTGCCATGACCCCGCGCGAGGAACTCGTCGACCGGCAAAACCAGGTCTTCTCGCTCGACAAACGGGACTGTGTAAAGACCGGGTGCAAGTGCGACACCCGCGGCTACCAGCGAAGAGTCTGCGGGGCCTGCAAGCACCCTGACACTAAGAAGTACATCGTCACGAGAAAGAGGGTCAGAAACCACATATACGAGTGTTCGGCTGATGGCGAGTCTTGCTGTGACTATGGGGTTGCTGATGATTGTGGCAAAAAGGGGCAGAGATGCCTCTTTGTCTAGAGAGGTCTTCAACGCTTCCGGGGGAGGGGGGCTGAAGACAACAGGCAGTAGTGGACTATTTCGAAAGATTGTTTTACTTTTTTATTTAATTTCTCTGAAGCTACTAGTCACTCTCTAAGCTGGATTAGAATGCGTTATGCACAGGAGTCTTGCTATCCGGGCGGATACTTCTAGCTAACCGGGCGGATAACTACCTATATTAGGTCTTGTAGTTGATTTTATCTCGATTAACTTCTATTATTTCCATCGCTATTCCTATCCCTCTCTCTGTCCCTATTATTATCGTCGTCGTCGTCGCCGTTAGTGTCGTTATATTCACATCTACACCCGCCCGGTTAGTCAAAAGTATCCGCCCGGATAGCAAAACTCATGCACAGCTCAGCTATCAGTAGAGCCCATCCAAGGCAAGGATCAACGTTAGCAAAAATTGTGGATGGCATTTTATGTCTGCTTCTGCTGCCATTAGAATCCCCGGGGACATTATGTCCTAGTCAAATCATAGTAACATTAGTCTAGCAACACGTACATTCTCAAAATATCCTGAAAGAACATCGAAGACTCATCAAGCCAGGCAGAGTGGATCAGACAGCCAAAGACAGATGACCTAGAACCCATGCTTGGTTTTAATACACAGCACTTGGTTCCAAACTCATAAAGCCCCTCTTGTTCTTTTGGCGTAATAATGATTCTAGAGGGTTTTGACGCTTTGATGGTATGGCAATACCGAGCCACCTTGGGGAAGACGTTCCTCGATTTGTGGTAATGTCTGTCAGCAGGGGCCATGGCTCACTCGGGATCATGGTTGCGGCCTAAGAACGTCCACGTCTGAATTCATGACAGTGAACGCTCTAGTAAACAAAGATCTTTTCTCTTTTATCTTGATTTCACCCTCGTAGCTTCTACAAGACTCTCTTCCCTCAAACCTCGGACCTCTTCACTTGCTACCACTCATCCCCGACGATCTTAGGCTTGTCATCTCTGCCCATTGACACAGATGGCGGCTAGCAACCGTCAATCCCCCGAAGATGTGGGAATGGCCGACGCCCCAGAGAAGCCACCCGCCACGTCTGAAGAGCGCGAAAAGTTCATGGAGCAAAAGTTCGCCAGCGTGCTGCGCCAAGAGAAGCGCACGCTCCGGAGCTTCTACGATGCCCAGGAAAAGGGCGCCGCAAAGTGGCTCGTCAACAGAGGTGTCCAGGTTGTCTCGGCCTCCTGGTTCGAGTGGGAGGTTCACGTGAAGGTCTGGGCCAAACTTTCCGCTACAGGTTCGTCACGATCGCCTCCCATCTCCATTGTTTTGTACATCCTGACCGACGAACAGGACCGAAACAGACCCAGCAGACCGACGTCGGAGAGTTTCCATGGATATACGAAGAGCCCAGCATGGCTCCCGACGGCCCGACCGACGCCTCCCAGTTGTTCGCCGAACTCAGACTCGCAATCATCAGAGAGAACAGCCTGCCAGCCCTCACCCGCATCGAGAAGCGTCTTCCGTTGATGAACGAAGAGCCGGAGATGGCGCGCAACTTCAGGGGCGGAATGGACCTCGCACTCCGCCAGGTTATTTGGGACGATGTCTTCCTCGGCGAGCCTTGTGTGCCTGGCCATCCATTCGAGGTAGTCATCCCCTTCGCCGAGAAGCTCCGCACGCATGGAGTCCTCGATGCCGACGAGCTGCGAAAGCACCTCCCCGCCGCCGTTCACGGCCGAATCATCCGTCGCCTCAATCCCAGCGGACACTACGTCTCAGTCATCGTCTTCGGCCTCGCGCCCAACGCCTTCGATAACCCGATGAATCGCATGAACCTGGCTCTGAGCTACAACATGGCGCTCAACTGGGCCAGGAAGATCGTCGTCACCGGCACCAGCTGCCCTGTTTCCGACGCCTTCAAGAACTTCATGATCAGGCCCGTCCAGAAGGAAGGTGAAGGTGCTTCGCAGGTTGTTGGTCTAGCGGAGCAAAGGGTCTTCACTGATGAAGAGCTGAAGCGATGCGAGCACGCCCTCGCGCTCATGCCGTGGACCTCAGAACCATGCCGCTTACCGCGTGGGCCACTGGCTGCAGCAGCAAATCGCCCTCACCCCAGTCCAGGATCGCTACAAGCTTTTGCAAAAGTGGTGCCAGCAGAAGCACACCAATCTCGAGAACCTCACGCCGGTTGAGCTGAGAGATGCCTGCCGCCTTGCTTGGGAGAAGAAGATCTCGGAGTGGATGACGGAGCGGGAGATCACCAGCTGGTCATGGAACATGGAAACCTTCTACGCAAGACAGATTGCAGCCGTCGACTGCTAAGAAAGAATTCGAAGCTAGAAGAGGAAGATAAGCACCGTGACACAAAGTCCTGTGGGAGATTCTGGAAGGATCAGATGCGACAAAAGACAACAAGAGGGCTTTGTATTGATCATGTTCATACGCTTTGTATTTACTCCCATAGCACCCGTCTAATTACCTCCCAATCATGCTTTTTTTCCTTTTACATAATCCCGTCCGATCCAAGCGCCCCTCCAAAACCCCCGTTTCAGATGACGTTCTTCAGCGGCTGGCCGGCCAGGAACCGTCTCAAGTTGTACGCCGTCAGGGCCTCCGCACCCTGGGGCCGGCCGCCAGCAGCGTGCGGGGAAACGATAACGTTCGGCGCCTTCCACAGCCGGCTCGACTCGGGCAACGGCTCCGTGACAAACACATCCAGCGCGGCGCCGCCGACCTGGCCGGCCTCGAGCGCATCCACCAGCGCGTCCTCGTCGACGGAGGTGCCGCGGCCGACGTTGACGACCCACGCGTGCTTGGGCAGCAGCTTGAGGCGCTCGGCGTTGAGGGCGTTCTTGGTGGCGTCGGAGCCGGGCAGGATCATGACGAGGGCGTCGGTCTCGGGGAGCAGCTCGGCGAGCTTGTCCTCGCCGTAGACCTCGACGCCGTCGCGCACGCCCTGGCCGCGGGCGATGCCCTTGACCTGGGCGCCGAGGCCGCGGAGGTGCGGGGTGAGCGACTTAGCGATGTTGCCGAAGCCCCAGATGAGGACGCGGGCGTCGCGCAGGGTGGTGAAGGCGCCGGCGGGGCGGTCGGGCTGGGGCCCGCCGAGGTGGCCGGGCCACTTGTTCTGGAGCTGGTGGTCGCGCATCTCGTAGAAGCGGCGGGCGGCGTTGAGGAGGAGGCCGAGGGCGTGCTCGGCGACGGTGTGGTCGTGGAGGCCGGAGCCGGTGGTGACGGTGATCTTGGTGGCGTCGAAGCCGGCGTTGAGGACGTCGTTGGGGCCGGCGGCGAGGGACTGGATCCACTTGAGGTTTTTGAGGCGGCCAGCGGCGTCCTTGAGGTTGTCGGCGGAGTTGGTCCAGGTCACGAGGATCTCGGCGTCGGTGTGCTCCTCGGGGATGGCCGTCTTGACGTCGTACGGGACGAGCTTCACGGAGAAGCCCTCCAGGGACTCGATGTCGAGCTTGAGGGAAGTTGGGTAGAGAAGCTTCATGGCGGCGGTGGTATCTGGGGCTGGATCTAGAGATGATGTGAGTATTTGGCCCGGCTCAACTTGTGGTGTTGGCACATGGAGGGTTCGTACCTTGGGATGCGGGATTAGGGATCTGGTCAAAGCAAAAGGATCGTGAAACTGGAAAAGAAAACGCGCGTGGTGAAGAGACTTGGGTTGTATGGGGTTTTACCTACTCGGCTACAGATTGGCCGACCGACAGCGATGACGGAGGAACGGGATAGCCGCGATTTCGTCTAAAATAGCGTGCCGCTTCACCAGTGTTCCCTGCCATGGTTGGGGAATACACCACACTACCACCCTTTGGTGGCACAAAGTGGGGGGTAGTGCCCCTCCCCCTCACGACAAAAATGGCGGGGTTCTCTGGAAATGAGGGACGAACACCGACACTGCGATGCCCCGACTCGCCGCGAATTGCCGTCAAATACGTGGTGGCCCACGCTCTAGCGCACCCAAATCATCTCTGACTCGTCCAAACGAGCAAGGAAGGTTGAGAAGACATCGGAAGAAATTGCTCTATTGGTCAATGGATGAATAACCGGCACAAACACCGAGATGGTGTGCCACTTTCTGCCACTTTCCCGGATTTAAATCCGCGTCGGCAATGGAACCAACCTGTCTACACAGGTCCCCCAACCCCCATCCCATCGTTCCATGATGCATCAGACTTCTCCTCGTGACCGATCGGTGTGTGGTGATTCACCTTCGCCATCGGCTATCTACCGACTAGCCGTGCTAAGCTTCCGGGTATCGCATGCTCGCAAACGCATCGGCTCCGGCCAGCCGCACTGGATGAACCCGTCCAAGATACGGAGGTGCGGTTGGAGGAGTCCTGCGTGAGGGTTCTCGCTGCCTTTAATAGCCGCTGTTAGCTTCGCGAATGAAATTCATGCCTCTTGTATCGACCACCAATAGTCTCAAGGTTCTTTCGTAACCTTTGACGATCGAGATCGGTAACCGGTTGCCTCCCGTCGAAAGACTTTCGGATCGGGAAGAGGTTCGGCTCGGTACTCCTTGTGTGATTTCAAACCAATCTTATGATGCCGTGAGGAATTAATGACTAGTCGAAACTGCATTCAACGCCTGGTTGCTAAATGTCGATCTCGATGGCTGCAGTGTAATGACTCTTGGTCGAAGGATGTTCGTATGGCTTGAAATCTGGCGGAGGATTTCTAGTCCATAATTCCATAACAGATGTGTTGAGGATAGCCTTTCCGCGCCAAGTATGGGAATAGTTCAATATTTTTTTTGCGAAGGCCATCGTCTGTGATACCTCTCGGACATGCTGTGTGGGTTGTTCTGGAAGCACAGGTTGACTTGACCTGGAAAATGTCTTGGAGGCCTTTTGCAGACGAGTACTTGAACTTATCAGTCCTTGGAAGCATGTGTGATCTTATGTTTCCCTTCGCTATGATACATAGAGGAAGGTCTCCAGGGGCGAGGAAAGGCTTGACAGTGGACAAAAGCCGAGGTACTTGCCTCGTCCCGAAGTTTGCGACATTATCGGGTCAGAACAATGAATGTTTTTCGATTTCTTTTGGTGTTAGGTATTGAGGAGTCAGACTCGAGTGATGAAAGCAAGACTCAATGAGTAAAGAGAAAAGAGAGCCGATGAGGGGTTAGGAGGGCAAGGAATATTTATACCCGCTGAGCCCATGACACAGCAACACAGCAACACGGTGTGCATGCAAGTCTTCTTGGCTACCTCGAACAAAGTACATATTATGAATGGCATTCAACGTCTACTCAAGGCGAATTTTGCCATTGATTTTCAGGTCTTTGCAGGCGTTCGCCCACAACACAGTCTTCATCCAATGCAATATAGGACTATCCCATCAACCATGGCGGACTACGGCACTTCTCATCAGCCGATATCTTCAGTTTTCCCCTACTTCGCCTATACACAATAACGGTTACTTACTAGAGAATTCCGTCGATCTTTTCTGATTGGGAAAAGGTCCCTAGCCGACTAGCACTTCATGGGATACCACGTCCTAAAGGAGTAAATGGGCAAGGAAGGATCCGTTCTAGACTTCATGTGGATTCCTGAATCAGTAAAGATCACCTACCTGGGCTATTATTCGTTGAGCGCAGTGTGGGGGTTCTGCAGTAGTGTCAGGCCTTCTAAGTTGGTTCTCTTCATCCATAGTATAACGTACTTACTTCCTGTAATGAGGTTTCAAACCATGAGAAGCAGACTTCGATGAGCTACTACATGTCTCTTGCTGCTCTTGTGACCCGGATTGATCATCATCATCAGACTTTTAGAGGTCCATGGTATGTGACGTGGCTGCTGCCCCAGCTGTTGGAGCAAGGGTTGTGTTTGCTTCTCGCATGTTGGAAGCCAACGCAGAACCAACAAGCAACAGCTGAGACAACGGTTTTGGGCCAATCATGAACCAAAATAAGATTAGAAGGATCCGCAACTCAATTCCTATCCACGACATCTAATTTCTAGTTTTTTTGTCGTTTGTTTTCGCTGATAGCGTCGCATTCGCGATTCACGATGCATTCCCGCTGGGTGAGGCGTTCTTTCACGACAACACGCTTCCATTGATACCATTTTTTTTTTCACAATGAAATTCTTGACGCGTCATTCTGAACTTCTCTGAGACTTCTGATCTAATCATTTGGTCTTCTAATCTGCCGTAAATCGGTCTTCCGCGGTCGCGTCGCAACCATGGCCCTCTCGGTTACCCCTTTTCTCTCCGCGTCCACGACAGACGACGACACCACCACATTCGTCACCGCGACAGTTGTAAAGACCGCAGTCGTTCGGTTGAGTCGATCTACAATCGTCTTCACGCTCGGTACTGATTCTGATCTTTCCACTGCGCAGACGACTTCTGCAGAAACGACACGTGTGGATGCGACAACTTCTACGCCAACGGAAGCCACCACGACAACGACGACGACACCCGAACCCACCACAACGTACAGTTCCGCCCAATCCACAACTTCTGAGCCAAATTCAACGACATCGAACTTGCCCACCACTACCTCAAAAACTACATCTACTGGCATTCCCCTGGCGACGAGCATCGGGGTAGGCGTCGGCGTCGCTCTCGGCATCCTTTTGCTAGCATCCATAGGCTTCTTCATGTGGTACAGACGACGCAAACGCAGAAACAATATGCAAGCATCTGCGGTTGCCGAGACGGGACAAGCGGATGGGTTTCGGGCGGAGAAGGCAGGCATCAACGAGCTTGACGGGGCACATACGGAGAGATTCTGGGGACGCGCCGAGCTGCCGGCTGGTCACCGCTTATCGGAGCTAGATGCCGGGCCTGTGAGCTCATCCACGCTGAACGCCTTCGGCCGGAGATCGGAGATGGCAGCAGACAATACCCTGATGGCACGGGGGGGATGATGGGACACGATTTGTGGCGCGGTAATGAGAAAATAATACGTTGGATCCATACGAGTTTCTCGTCAACTCAATCAAGACTCATTTTCTGAGAACTCGAAAATTTAATATAGGTGTCACTTCCACCTACGTGAAATCCCGTAACAAACCATGAAGGTAGAAAGCTCCAAAGGGTCTTCGAGCATAAGCCCCGGCATCTGGGTTCAAGTCTCTGGGCCCACCTAGATACCCGGAGGTCACTCAACGATGTTTTCTTTCTTTCCTTTTCTTTCCAGCTGTTTCGAGGCCAAATTCCCAGGCACAAGAGGTCCATGAGAGTTTCTCCCAGCATCCGAGTTCTGACCATCAATATCCCCAAACTTTGACACATCCTTCAAAGTTGACGCCTCGGGTTCTCTGGGTATCAAAGCTCTGAGAACTTGCAGCCAAAGACCCTCCGGGCATGTGAACTCATTGATTCCCTTTATGTACCTCTCAAGTCGCCATGATAGATCAAGATGGACGGAAAATCTGTTCGTCCATTTATGCTAATGTGGTGGCTTATATGGCTTGAATTGACATGCCTATCCATAAAGTCTAAATCAACCTCATACAGAATCAAAGGCTCATAGAGGTGACATTATGACCACATCGTTCAATTCTTCTCAATATCATGATTAGGCAACAATCAGGGATACTACCTCAACAAGAATCGTTGTGGTGTTCCGTGGAAGCATGAATCACAATTACATAACATCTGTTCAGTTGAACATGACAAGTAGCTCTCCCAATTGTGTTGACACGACTGGCTCCATAGACTCGACGTTGCGAACTGACTTTCAGAGTCTACCAGTACCGAGTCCGTCTTCACCCTATGATGGATACACAAATTCACCATGACTTCTTAGACTGAACACTGGATGGCCGAGAGATATAACTTCATTCAAAAATTGATACTTTACATGATATTTCAGTCAAATCAGATCAATGAAACATGTTAGCCAGAGTTACGATCTGAATAACAATACCCCTCCAAGCAATGTCCGAACTTCAGTTTCAACACTCTATGGTGATGGCAACTTTGGGTTGGGGTTTTCAGAACCCGGCTTCTAAACAGTGGATGTCCGAAACGACCCTGAACTGGGCGACTCTGCCACGAATGACGGGCCACCTCCACCACTAAAGCTCGAGGCTTTGGCCCTCGGTACGAAACCTGAAGAGGTGGTTGACGAAGATGCACGTCAGCTTCAATCATAACCTGATTCGATCTCAGTTGCGGCCAAGCTCTTGAATGATTGGATTCCAAGGAAGTCGGCTCTTTCTGGGTACAACAGTCGGGCATCATGCTGCCGATCAAGAAACCAGATCATAGCGAGCCTGATGCACTACACCATCAACTCTTTAGCTCTTATTCCAGATGCAATATGCCCGTAATCATTCTGCTGCTCTTAAAGCTCTGCAAGTAGTCTTGAGGCTGAACTGCAATAAGACGGACTTATCCACGAGTTTCGCCGCCTTGCATTCATTGGCACACGTGGTACAGATGCAACGCAGCACTTCAACAACAGCCACTTTCTTGCACCTCTTCTGCCGACACATATACAATTACAATTACAAAATCCAGTAAATTTCTGCTTGCAACACCCTTTTGTCAACTCAGACCTATTCGTTTCGGCTGCGTTGAACATTTACCACACCGCTCATCAGGCTCTTGGATTGCATGTGGCTTCCGCTTGAAGACTACCGGTGTGGTTTCCCCTCATCTCAAGCACCAATGTTATGGTGATAAGCCATGCAGGTTCCCATCCCATCACATCACCCGACCTCACCTGACAATATCGGGTCGCCTGATAGCCTGCCTCCCGTTGCCTTAATCTCCTACGGGTGTTTTGAGTCTGCCTGCGAGAATGGCTTTCACTATCCACAAGAAGGGCTTGTCTTATTTGCACTAAAATGTCACCCTTATGTGTATCTGCTTCATTACGCTCACGGCTCGCAATCCTGTGCATTTTCTGGTGGACTTCCATTATTCCAACGCAACCATTCTAACAAGACTAGCTAATGCACAGTCTCAATTTTCGGGCTTAGGCCCATGACGAGTAGCTCAAGTGATTTCCTGCATGTGAGGCCACGTCAGGCTGGTGATCCATAGTTGCTGCTGAGGGGTTTTTGATATGAGAGCGCTGCTGCGCCACCTTGTCGTCGTATCATGCCTTTTTCTAGAAACCACAAGTTCACAGCTTCCAAGCCCTATTCGGCACACCAGATGATCTTATAACGATCTCGGTGAGGAAACAGCCACTCAAAGATTGATATGGCGGGCTGCCTGAAAATATTGCCCACCAACCTTGAACGAGAAAGTTTGACCACAATTCGATGGAAGACAATCATGGACGTTGTAAGCCGAGATCGCCTAGCACCAGCCATGGTTAGGTAGGCTGTCAGAAGGTTCCACTGGACCAACAGGCTGCTGCCTGAATGTCATGCAGCTATGCGGCAGCTCTGCAGCCTCAGAGCCACCCCCGCTCCCGGGTTCGAAGTTGGCGGAGCGTTACCCAATGAGATCGTGGTGTGCCAGGGATCCGCGGGATATGCAAACTGTTCCAATTGGGTCCGAACAGGATGCATCAACGTGCAGCAGCCTGAGAAGATAGACGTCCTCGCATTGGATGTGAGCGGCTGCCAAGGCATTCATATTCCTGCTTGTAGAGACCGGGGAATGAGACCGCTTTCCGGGATTAAAACTTGTTGTGTATGACAAACTCCCAAGGAATGGTTCTGCTGTTATTATATATGATGGCGTTGTTGTCTCAGTGTGACAATCGAGGTAAGAAGAGCAGGTAGGTTGGATCGGAGCCTTGTGTGCTTCTGATGCTCGCGCCACTGACCTGCATCCTCACTGTATTTAGCGACCGGGTGCTGCAGCTGCGGGCGCTGCATGGCGCTGGCTCTTGAATCTCTCGGCTTGATGAGCAGTCCTGTACCGTAGTCCGTTCCGGAAGTAAAACATATACTCCGCGGCCGAAGATCAGGAGAAAAACGTAATGCACATTTTAGATAGCAGCTCCATGTCCTCCAGTCATAAGGCCAGAAGATGGCGTGCTTCCTTCACCGAACGCATAGACATGTCGTTCTCGGTCGATCTTGCATCATTGGTTGCCTTGGAAGAAAGAAGGATGGCCCGCAGACCGGGAATGGATCTGGTGCGGGGGACTTTGATAGCGATGATGTGAGATGAAATGGAAAACCAAAGAGGGGCGGCTTCGTTCTCGGGCGTCGTAGCTGATGTGAGAGTATGAGCAAGCACTAACAGAGTGCTCAGATTGTTATTGAATCAAATGCCTGCGGATGTTACTTGTGGAACAGGCAGAAATACAGGCAACTCAAGCTAGTAGTAACCGATATGAGTTATAGGCGTCAACTACGAGAATTATACCGAAGTGAACTATGGACAATTTCGGAAACATTGACAGAGCGCGTGGGGTTTCGATCATGACCCAAGATGCTGGCTGCCTGCACAACAGGGCATCCAAAACAAAGGTACAAGCGCATGCCATCGCAACCAGCGTCTGAAAAATCCTTTAAGAGATTGGGCATGGAAGGCAACCATACTAATTTTAAGCGCTGCGGCTGCCTACCCCACGCTCCCTAATTGCGCCGCATGCGCTAAGGTAGGGAGCTGAAAGCCCTCGCCAGCCGTACCTGAACGCTCAAACCAGCGAACTCATCGCCCCCAAACGACGCCCCTAAAACACCAAAATACATAAACATAAACGGCTGACTTCTCAATGGTCTTTGTGGCTCAGACGAAAAGGGCCTCGATGCTCTTCCGTCATCATTCCTTTGCCCGGCAAAAGAACCGGGCGTTCAGTCCCCGCGAAGACTCTAGCTCGCTAACAAAAGAACACAGGAGGCTGGCCCACTCAGAGCCAAAAGAAGGCAACTACCTAGGCAACCAACCGTGCTGCCTCACCGAAAGTTAATTCCGCGACAAGGCGATAGAGACCCAGGTTTCATCGGTTCCATGCTTTAGTATATGCCTCCCCCTCGTGGGTTGTAAGGATTATCAATACGCTAGTCGAAATCCCATGTGGTCCCGGGCTCGGGGTGCCATTCTTCAACGGGCCGACTTAACTGTCGGTGTCCGGGTTCCGCCATCGGGACACACTTATCGACGACCACCAAGCAAGCTCAATTGGCTTCCACGTGAGAGAGATGGGGCTTGAAACCGCGAACTGCATGGAAAATTTTACTTGAGCCGGCCGAAAGTTGTTCGTTGCTCCTGCCTAGTGGCACCTTTGCAGGTTCTCGGGTTTCTCGGAGAGTGGAGCGGAAGGTGATGGCTGGACTGCGGCGCTGCACAGCCGAGGGTTACGATTCACGCCCCTTGAATCCACGAAGATTACGAATCCGATATGACATAGCCCGGTTGCCTTGAGGGAATTGAGTTTTCTTATGAGTTCCGGCAGGATGGCGACTGCAAAGACGTTGACCGTGGCTGAAGCTTGCGTACATTGTTCGGGACGCCATCGGAACGAACGATGGTTTGAAATCAATATTCCTACGTGAATGACACCCCGGTAGATTCGGTCAATGACTGGCTTATTTTTGGATCAAACTCTATAAGCCTCAATTCAAGAGAGAATTGTGATTTGAAATAATAGAAGAAATATTTGAAACCTACCTAGTACTTGCGATCAAACTTGAGATGAGAACCAAATTAAAGCTTACCACTTTGTCATTGATGGAGGTCACCTTTGTGAGATCTAGAAGCTTCGACGCTCGCTGGATTTTCTTACTGCTCTGTTATACTCTTTTACTGTGTTGCAAATCATCATCATCTTGGTTTGTCTGATGCTCCACATCCAGTTGTTTCAACATCATCGTTAGCAGCCAAGGCGTGTCTCGGAAGGCTTTGTTTATCCTGTAAGAACCTCAGGGCTTACAGGGTTTGCAACGACGTAGGAGTTGTTCAATATGAATTCATGTTCTTCTCTATCTACACAGTTACAAAATGAAAGGCTCTTAATAGTTTTAAACCCCCTAAGTTGAGCCCGCCGCGGCGCCGCCATGGGAGTTTAAGTGATTTCTTGACCTTCTGTGACCTTTTGCCCAAGACTCTGACGTTAAGTCATAGGCTCAACTGATGGTACAGAGCGTGACGATATGGCTCGAATTCATCATCATGAGTTGTCAATCCTCGACTTGTCGGTACTGAGTAATATGCTTCTTGAGTTGATCAAGAAGGACTGCATGTTGTTCTGCTAGACCATTGGCGCATGGGCGGGCGGGCACGCGACGAAACAGACTTCTGAAAGAGGATGAACTGTACGATGTTTAACTGAGCTGTGAAGCTTTAATTCGTTTTCTTGGATATCTACACAGACATCTACACAATCTTCCGTCAGTCAACTATTTAAGCTCCTGGGCTCCATTTACAAACAGGCACTGGGTTCGACGCTTCTGGTTGGACCCTTCTTAAACACCGTACATATTTCTTAATTGACAATGACTCAGTACATTTTATTGACATATACTGTCGTTATCATGATATGGATAGCATAAAGTAGTCTCAATCAGCTCAGTTCTACTCGGGACTCGTGGTTCTCGGCAACCCAGTGAAACATAAGACCCCTTGCCGCCTGCGGGACCTCCATAGGCAAAAGCACGAAAGCGGTTGGCACACTCTTATGAACATAGAAATTTGATTCGTCTATTATGGTATCAAATGGGACTGGTTGATAAACCAAGCGACAACGCTGCAATCCAAAAATGCATGCCCCTAACGCCGTGAGTTAGTTTTGAACCCGCCTGGTGAGAGGCAAGGCTCTGTGTACGGTGTACCCTATTCCCAATGCTGTTATGCGCCTTGCAAATGCACCATCACTAATATTTACTGGAACAACCTATGTGCTGTTGGTGAAGTTCACAGCGGCGTCTATAACCTTGTCTGGCAAGGTACTGAGTGCAGCACAGGTGGCTTCTCCCCAAACTCTCTTCATGATTGTGTAGCCTGAAATCGGCCCAACCACCCAATCCAGACTTTACATATAAAGCCTGGGCTGGATGCACCCAAGAGAGTCGGTAGCAGAAGACTATAGACGCCAATGCTGTGCATTGTTGTTACACGGGTGAGAACCATGGTCACACTCGGCAGTGCAATGTGATATAAAGCATGCAGCCTAGCTCCATGCTTCACATCCGGGATGCCCTACTCAATAGGGGCATCCGGAATGTCCACATCGCCGTCATCTCGGCTTCCCAATGTATTGGGTTGTGTCGGTGTACCACTATCTGTTTCCGAAACCGTCGGCAAGTTGGCAATCTCAACAGCATATCGTGATGCGACGCTGAACTGTCTCAGGTTCTTATCGTAGGTAAGCCACGCGCCTGTCGAGGCCAAACGAACTCCAAGCCAGAGACAACGGTCCTGCCTCTCTTCCATCATAGACGCTACTTCAAAATACTTCTCTTCGTCATCGATCTTCGCGGCGGTAAACCAGTCAGCCGGGTAGTACTTCTCCACCCAGAGAAGACCACGCTGGGCGAAATCGTCGGGTAGCGGGCGTGGGCTTTCCTTCTCGTTTCGGGGAAAGGTCTCACCCTCAATCTTGTCAAAACGTGAGCAAGTGCCGACCAGAGTGTTGAGCATGAGTGAGATGAGCTTCCAGGGGATCTTGGACTCGATATGAGCCATGGCGACGGGGAATTTTGAAAGATGATGAAGGAAGGAGAGGGTGACGTGAAGATACGGGGTGACGCTGGGGTCACCGAAGCGGCGAAAGACGACATCGTGCGTGCGGCAGGCGAAGTCGAGGGCATCAAGAAACTTCTGGGATGGGGCGGCGGCTTCAACGCCCTGCATTGCCGTATCTGGTTCGTCGGTGCGTGCTCCTGACTTGATCGTACGCATAATGACGTTAGATTCGCTGCCATACTCCAAAAGGGAGCATCCTAGGGCGATGCCGATGTAGTAACCGCTCTCCATCCATCGTCGCGTGGTACGTCCAATGTGGTTATCGAGACTACCAATGAACTCATCAACGGAGGGTGCGAATTGTTCTTGATTGCGGCCGGAGAAGAGGATGCCGTGGGCTCGGACGAAGGCGGCATCGATCTCTTGGAGCCGTGTTGGCGATCCGTTGAGATGAGGCTCAAACAGAGTCATGATGCTCTCGCGGGCTGAAAGAAAGGGGATCGGAACACACAAGCTCTTGGTGTAGTAGAAGAGCTGTTGAAGCGCATTTGGTCGCGCAAGGATTGCCAAATGATGATACAACCGACCTGTTGTAGGTGCTTTGTCGCTTGCCTTTGAATACCAGTGCCTACTAACAGAAGTCCAAACCTCGCGGTCTTTCAAATCATCATCCTCAATTGCCATACTGTATGCGAAGTCAGAATCCGTGTCTCTCAGCTTTGTCACATGAAGACCTTCTGTTGAATATTGCTTGCTTACCGATATCTCCCAAGATCTCCTAAACATTCAATCCAAGTGTCTTCAAACGTGGGCACCGTCTCATAGAGCAGTGCCATCATAGAATATGCCAGATAGATGAAGGTCAACATATGCTCTAACGATGCGGGGAGACGGTGCCGCAGAAGCTCAAGGAAACTATGAATTCCATGCCTCCACATCCGAGCAGGCATTGCGTACTTGCTTGCGAGCCGCCTCAATGCAGGGCTGGCAGACGGATGCTGTGATGCCAGAAAGAAGTCATGATGCTCGTGTAATAAGGTCCGATGTAGAGCGATAAGGGCTTGCCATTGCTCATTGTTGAGCTTCGGACTTGATTCTGTTGTTGAACTTTGAGCATTATCAACCTCGATGCATTTGCTTTCAACCATGACAAGCCCAGCATATATACCCTTGACTTCAGCAACTAATTGTTCCTGGGATATCGGCCGCGTTTCCGGCTGCTTTATCAAGACTTCTGTTTGGTCAACCTCAGGACTGCGAGGTTCGAAGGACCTAGCCGTAGGTGGTCGAGGTGACTCGGTGGTGTCTTTTCGTTTCAAAGGCTCTTCTTCAGGAGACCATAGCTTTCCAGCCTTCTGCCCGGGATCTCTCCGAAAGTCATTATCAGACGTACGGGTGTTGGCCGTTGGTATTGGTGCACGAGCTCGACTACGCTTGGGGGGCAGAGATGATTCGTCGTGATCCCTTTTTAGGCTTCGATTCGAGGCAGGACTCTTCAACCTTCCTCGATTATCCCCATCCCCGCTTGACTCGGGTACAGGAGGTTCGACATCGGGAGCAACGGCCGTCTTGGACACCGATTGGGATAGATCGGGTGCGGGATTGGTACCGGTGGGTTGGGAGGTTAAGGCTTGTGTCAGGGGTTCGCGTCGGTCTTTAAGTCTGCAGGTGCGTGGATTAGTTCTTGAACATGCGGCTCTGTTGACGAGTGACGTACTGTGATAATATTTTCTTTATTAAACCTGGTTTGTCCGTCTCGTCGCTGTGATTTTCCTCGACGTGTCTTTTCACTTCTTCCTCCCTGATCGAGGGAGGTAACAGCTTCAAACAAGCAGGACATCTTCGTTTTTGGTCCGTTTTCTGGCGTCTCGAGCCAATAATTAATTTGTCGATATCTGTTCTCGGGGTATCCGCCCTTTGGCTGGATAACGTCTTGTTGTCGGACATATTTGGTTCCTCGCGGGCGACGTGTGCGTGACGCTTGCAAGATCGATTAAAGCGGGATTTGTGCCAAAGCGTCGGGCAAATGATTTTCCCTCTAAGTTAATTGAGACGAGGTCAAAAATGTCTTCCAGGACATAAACGCTGGTCTATAAGTGTAGCCAGTTCCCGCACTTGTTTTCTTGAAGCGGACAATGACACGAATGGCGAACCTCAAGGTACGAAAAGTCAGTGGCAGGCGAACAGGCTGAGATCTTACGTCTCCTCTTTGAAAGTGTTGGTAGGGTCGCGAACCACCACTGCCTAGGTAGGTAGGCTCTAGCATGGTATGCACCGGGCCCGTATGTACCAGGTTAGCTCGGTTGCCTTATTTGGTCCGCGCACTGCTATGCAGTATGCGGCTCTTCAAGCTCCTAGGCTCGTCAGGGTCTCTGAGCCCGCCCCGTCATTCCCTCACTTCTCCCTCCTCCTCAGCAAGCCCTACGAAAGAACTATAAGTGTTCCTTGCTCTCCGCCTCCAGCCTTACAATTCTCAGACCAAATCAGTTTGAACCTGTTTCGCTGCACACAGGCCCAACTCTGCATTTTCTATTCCGATAGCTCAGAAATCCATGCCGCCAGTGTATGGGGGCGTTGTGCTGGCAAAAATCTACAGGCTGGTGGCGGGGCCGCCCGGGCCATCTGGACGGCTGAGAGCCAGCCATTTTGAGCCTTCGGAGCACCTAATATTGGCTTCAGTGTCGCGCCAGCCTGGCATTTTCCACTGGACATGTGTATGCATCATCTGGCATCGGGTGGTTGGGTCGAAATAATTTCCTCAAATAGTCAATGACGATTGCGTTCTTTCTGCGCTGCGTGCTTATAAACATTCAACGCTTCCATCGAAAGTGCATATTTCAAATGTGCGGGAGGGTTGCATTTGCTCGGTCAGATGATGAGTATTACAAAATCTTCCATCCATCTGTGTCTTACATGCTGCGGTCATGCAGCATACAAAACCAGCGAGTGTCCTGCTTAAGACCGTGTATATCCGGTCCATTTTCCCGTCCAAAATTCAAATCACTGACTTCTCTCCATTCCAGTATGATTACTGGGTCTCAGGCTTGTTCCTTTCCTCAAGATCTTTCCTCTACGCAATCAGGCGAGGCACTAGTGATGCAGATTTCGGTGTTACCCATCACATGTGGTCCCAAGAATACCAGACCGACTACCTTGGTTCTTTCCAGGAAGCTTTTGCACAGAAGATCCGGGGTTCAAGTGGCCCTGGGACATCGCTAGCTCAATTTGGAGCCCTGGCGCAGCTGCACTGAACACTGCTCGCGGTCTGTTCTTCTCCACTGGCGAAGAAGTACACTGCATTGAAATCTTTCAATCTTGAGAACGATGGAGTTTTCCCTTCTTCAATTTGCAGACAGCAGGACCAAAAGGTTTTGCCATCCCAAAGAGGGCTTCCCAGTGCCGAACTTGGCAGGTGGCGGTCGCCACAGCTTCTACATACATCCCTAGTACACAGCCACAGCGATCAGTCAATCGGCTTCGCCGACATGCGGCTGGACCGGAACACGAAGAAGATCATTGCAGCTGAAATCTTTTCTTCCGGGCTGAATAGCTGTAAGAGGCAATATTTTAATTCGAAGAAGCATCTAGATGAAGGCAAATGGAGATGTGACCATGTTGGGTATGTACCGTCCGCAGCAGCATTGTGCCGAGACGGTTAAGCCAAGTGGTTCTAGTTCGTATTGAGACGAACCAATTCATCGTCCTCGACCGCAACTCCGACTCAACAGCGCTGATGATTTTCACAGACGCAGCAATGTGGCAAGATTACATGCTCGCTCCGCTCAGGATATCTCAATTCCGGGGCTTGAGTGGAAGGCCGGGCTCGGAAGCCTGACTCACTAGGCGGGCCCTTCATCATGGTTTTCAGCCACGGGGGATGTGCACACGAATTCACGATGGAACTTGCTGAAGGCAACCCGCCGAGACAAGGCGTGTGCCATACAAGGCCATGCTGACATGGGTATATCAGCTTTCATTCGCATCGAAATTTTTGCCTCGTGACCAGGATCTGGAAAGTTGGTGGTTGGCCTCTGCCTCAACTGTACAAGAGTCTACTGGTGGATGCTGTTTGCAGGCTGCCATCGAAGAAGTCCTCGACTCCAATCGGTAGGCGGCGGCAGGTCACGCTATCACAAAGCTGTATCCTAAAGCAGCAGTTATTAGCGTTATGGAAATTTGTCTTCCCTGAAATGACCACGATTCTCCAGCCCATTGGTGAATGGTCGTCCCGGCTGCATACATCCCGCTGGTGCCTTCACCGAAATCTTCGTTGAGCTTTCAGATCTGCTGTTACTTGAAATTCATGCTCGACGGAATTGAAATATTCGGGTCGCGAGGCTGGAGGCAACTGACTGTTGCCTATCATTACGCATAAATGCCTTATTTGCCTGAATATCAAAGCCGGATCTTACATGAAAGTACTAAGGGATCCATTTGGTGAGTGGCGTGCCCCATCTAATGATCTAATCGTGAATCATCTCGGAATCATCTCGCCAGATGGTGAATTCTTTCGTGAGCATCGCCACTTTAAAGCCTCATGAGGCGTCTCATTGGAAAGGACCATCACAAGGCGTCACTCGGTATTATTTCTCATTGGGTCGGTCACTTCTTTTGAACACAGTCAGACCGAGAAGTTGAAAGTTGTCACCTAGATTTAACCCGCCATTTAGGCCTCATAAAAAGAACCTTGCAGATACTCAGGTTTTCCTGAGACTAGAGGTTTTCCTGAGGCTATCTCATTGAAGGCTGACTGAAAGTACCTAAGGCTGACAAGTGTCAGCCACTTTTGAGCGCTAGGTATCAAGGCAAAGTTGAGTCTCCATTGACCTTTGGCTCGCTCTGGAAGCCTGATACTGTCGACCAGGCAACTTCAAGGCTTGAGACGCGGCAAATTCTGCCTAGTCTGAGCATCGAACTTTTGTGTCTAATCCATATGCCGATGAAAAGCGTTTGGTGTAGTGTGTCTCGACCTTTGAGGCTTCAAACTCGAGGTGCTATCCAATCCTGCTCTTACACATGACATATGGATTTGAAGCGTGGCGTTCATGAATCATCGTTGGTCGGTTCAAGACACAACAGGGTGCGCCAATGAACGACCGTCAAGCTCCCAACGTTCGAAAAATTAAACCATGGACTACAAGTCTCGATATCGTAGTTCCAACTGGTTGTTCATTGTTTTTATACAAAAAGTACTATAATATTATAGGTGACTGCGGGCCAAATGAATCTAGTTGCGTGACCTCGCCGCCAGAGTATGTGGAATATGTTACTTGCAATCTCATTAATGTGTAGTGTCAACTTCCGTCATGTCTCGATTATAATGGGACAAATTCCAGGTTGGTTGAATTTCACAATCTTTGACCTTTCTACAAACTTCGTATTTTGATAAACCTTTCATGGCTATTCTAGCAGAGTGCTGCCTTATCAACGATAAGCTTTGTTCCATTGTATTATCCCTATGTATAAATGCT